AGAAAACGAATTAATAATAATAATCGATACGATGACAAAGCGGTTACTGACTGAATTTTCGCCCGCGCCCCCTTCGTGTGTAGACTTCGTGTGCGCGTGCGGTTATTTTGTTTTTCCTTGAAAAAAGAAAAGAAGCTGTTCGTTAAAAATAATATTTTTAATGAAAGAAAAATTAAACAAAAAAAGGAAAAAAAAGCAAGAAAAAAAAAAAAGTGGGCCTGTCCGGGAGTTGAACCCGGGACCTCTCGCACCCTAAGCGAGAATCATGCCACTAGACCAACAGGCCAAAGATAGTATATCCGTTGAAAATTTAAATATTTAAATGTAAACGTCTTTGTTGTGGATCCGGATTCTCATCGTGGCTAACTTGATGGCCTGTTTACTGACGTCACACTTTTCCAATTTTCACATTCAGGCAAGAAGCAACACTGTTCAATTAACCACGAGAAATTTAGTAAATGAGGGAAGCTTCAGAAAAATCCGTTGCAAAGTCAGAATATATGGAACACTGAACTTGCCATTTTTTTTGCAGATGTATACTAAGGGGCAGGTGGTTTCCCCTGGCATACATTTCTTTCTAAATAAAAAATGGCAAGTTTGCGGTCCCATGATTTCACGGCTTTGCAAGGGATTCTTTTCAAACTTCACATATTTTCTATGATAGTTTACTTTTGTTAAAATGAAAAATACAAAACATTGTTGATATTGCATGACATCGGTAAAAAGGTCCATTTGTTTATAAATAGAGAAGTTCTCAATTGAGAGTCCTGAAATCTGAATCAATTACAAATGACACATCCTTGTCCCCAGAGGCTGCGCTCCTCTTGGTCAGCATCAAGAATTGCGGCCTCTGGAAAGATTCAACTCCTGAAGTCCACGATTCACAGACTTCCCGTCACCCTGCCCAGGCTCAGAGTCTGACAAATCTGATTGGCTCAGAATATGAAACGATTGCTCTGCACATGCTCAGAAAATTGGACTGTCCCAGAGGTCTCGATTCTTGATGCCAACCAAAAGAAGCGAGGCCTGCGGGACAAGAATGCAAATAACACAGACAATCTAGTGAGATGACCAGAACCCAAAGCAATTAATTTAGCTGATTTCAAATGCAGTAAATCTTGTCTAAGTGAGTCATGAAGTGAGAGTTTTTCAAGCTTAGTGTGGTAATGTAAAGCCAAAGTAAACGCAAATTAGAGTGGCTATTACTTATTAAAAGTAAAACTATTAAAAGTAAAACCATGTGATGGGCTGGAGTGATAACTTTGGTTTTGATTTGAAAAACGGCTCTACTTTCCACACTCAAATGAGAATTGCTTTTATAATTAGCCTTACTTTTCAAACAGGATGAAAACTGAACTAGCCCAAGTTTGTTGATGTAATGATGACATGATTATGCATTATTGAAATAAGGGTTATTCTACTTTCTTACTTATAAAGCAATGTGGCCTTATGTGCCTAAGGGCAGGAAAAAAACATTTTCTCTGTGTTTCCTAGAGTTATAGAAACCCTCATAAACATTTAAGAGAACTCAAAAAGGAGTGTAAACAATCACCTGCCGTTCACATCCCACAGCAATTCTTATTCTCCCAAATGAAGGGTAATGAATTACATGTACTGTCAGATCACAGATGGATTTACAAGTGGGGCTGAGGGAGCCATGGTCTATACCCCACTCCCCACTTTCCTCCCGACCCCCCACTTCCCTTCCCACCCTAGGTGTCTCTGTTCCCACTTCACCTGGGGTAATTCATCTTTGGAGAGTTATTTTTTCAAGGTTGCCAAGATGACACTATGACTACTGGGGGCCACTCAAGCAGAGTATTTGTGAATCCCCAGGATCTGCTCCTGTTAAATTCTCTATTGGCTCTCTTTCTGGCACTACACCCCATCAAGGTAGCCTAATCATAGGCTACTATTTTTAAAAGAAGCAGGGGCCTGGGGGCCTGGTTCCCTTTATCTTGGCTGCACAACTGACTGATATGAATTACAGGAATTGGCAACGTAACAGTATACAGAGAACAAAATACAATAAACAGTTTTATTGGCCACTCTTTGAAACACCGAATTAAATCCTGGAATTAAATGAACATGTAACAGTATCTTGGGCTGTTGGCACTCTCCAGCTCATGAAATTGATGACTGTTTGCTACATGTATATGTCATGCATGTGTCCTCCAGGTGGCCAAGAATATAACATCATACAACTCTACTGGTGAAATCTAAATGGTAACAAATAATAATTTGTTAAAACTATCAGCAAATTAACAAATAGATTACATGTTGCCTTAGTTTGTCTATTCAGTAATTGATCACAGATGAACACAAAAGTGGCACATGAATCGACAGCCTCAAGTGTGTCACTGATGTTCTTACAGCACAAAATAGAGTGCAGTGTTTGTCAGGAAATTGTTATTTAAGAAAACATTTTTCATGTTTCTATCGAGTTATAGAACACAAAAATGGAAGTTAGGGGAGCAAATAATAATTATCATCATCATCATCATCATCATCATAATAATAATAATGGTAAAAATTTATACTGCACCGTTTCTATGAAAATATTCAACAGCACCTTACAAGGAAGTGGGAACACGAACTGTAAGGTGAACTTGTGTTTGATCTTCCAAACGTCTTCTATGAAACAATTAGATTATGAGCTCGAGATTTCCATTGCGTGATAGTTGACGAGGGTGTAGCCAGAGTCAACTATCATGCATAGAAATCGAGAGTGAATAATCCAATTGTTTTAGTATAAATCTACTAGTCCTTCAAAAATTTATTTAAATACTCTTCACAGACACTTCAAAAACGTCAAGAAGCGGCGGTCATTTTGTTAGCAAGGGCTGACTGCTATGCTAGTCACTATCTATCACAGAACAGATAGTGATTAGCGTAGCCAATCAGAGAATGGCATTCGTGAAAGAATGCTAGTAGATTTATACTAAAACTCGATAGAAGCATGAGGAAAACAGCCCAAAGAAAATAACAATGTGACTATGACAACTTCTCTATGTTTCTATCGAATTAAAAAAGTGCAATTTTTAACAAATCGGCATGCATAGATTTCTTTGGACTATCTTTTTATGTTGGCATTTACATGTTGAAAGGTACCAGCTGCTGTAAATTATTTTGTTGTTGATGTTTCATTGCAAGAAAGCAGATGTACATATGAGCAAAGAGAGACCACAAAAGTGGCGCTTTCTTAAAAGGATCAGGCCATGACTACATTGGTGGAGCAAATGGCTGGTTCTTTTCCCTTCTTGAATTTTTAAAAATATTTCTACAGTAGTTAAGCAGTTTTAGGTAGTAAAGTGTGAGGCACAGTGGCCTGACAGTTGCACTGGACTGCATATTGTGTTACCCAGGTTTGAGCCCTCGCGAGGGTCTGCCATCCAATCAGGATGCTCAGTGGTAGTCCCTTCGAATTTCAGAAACCGAGATACATCCTGGCCTGGTATAAAGCCCCCTGGGCTTAGAGTTAGACTTTGCCTCTTTATTTGGGTGATAAAAAAAGTGGCATTACAACTGATAAAAATACACCACTTGTAATTAATAAGCACTCGGTGTATTTTTATCAGTCACTCCCTTACACGAAGAACATTGCCATATAGCCAATAGCAAAAGTTTAAAAATGTGGAATCATTACGATGCTAACCTGTCTAAAATCGGTTCGTCATATATGATATGTGTTAGCAGCTTAAATGTCACACAACTTCAAGTACTGCCTGCTTTAGCGTCCGTGCAGTCGTCTACCTCGTGGAATTAAGCTTACTACATCTGATCTTAGAGGATAATAAAAGCAAACAATTACTGCCACGTTTTAGCTAAAAGTTTAGGCTTGGTTCTCATCTGAAGTACGTGTAAGCCTGAAATACGTCAATACCACTGCATATGATCATTCGTGACTCACTGATGCGTTAGCAATGATATCACAATTTCGTGATATTAAATTTTTAGTGTTAATATCTTTTGTTATAAACAGTTTAGAGTAGGAAGACTAACAAAAGATCAAAGAATAGGATTTGGTCTGATTGAGCACATCTCAGGTGGGGAAATCTGACCTTTAAATTTAATTTAGCCTTGAAATTGAATGTTGCTGGTAGATTTCTTATCCGCTGCTTACCCATTACAACCCTCAGTGTGTTGGCTTCAGAGGATCAAGTACACCCCAGCCAGCACAGCAAGAACATATCATCTAACTTGCTGTCTACAAACAGGAGGCAGTTCGTGAAACACGAGCATGTGAATCCTGGAACTTCTCAAAGCCTATTATCTAGATATATTCAGAAGTCATCATTGACCATCCATCACCATCGGTGTTGTAATGCAACATCTCCTACGGAACACTCTTTGCGCAATCCTGGGGTGGACTAACACATCCAGCATTGATTGATGGGAAATACAAGCAGGCACGCGGTTACGCATTCGAATCCAGGGCCAAAGCGAACTTCAATGCAATCACTTTGACTGGTGTTTAAAGGGCCTAGGTCAAAGAATGATTCTAAACATTATAAATAACACTCTTATACAAATTTATATGAATTTAAAAGAAGTCACGTCGCAGCAAGTTTATCCCAATAAAATACTTGTAAATCTTCTCCAACTTTGCCCATCCATGCTCCATTTTGCCTTTCCTGTGTCTCTTTTTAGTTTTTCTACAGCTTTAAGCCGTAGTTGTGATATTTCAGTCAATTCTTTGACCAGTCAGGTCCAGTCCAGACCAAAGGATGCTACAGTCATAATCGGGAATTAATGAGGCGTTGAATCTCAAGTTCAACGATTTCAAATCTTAATGGGAGCGCTATTTCGATTTCCATTTATCTCAGGTAGCAACTAGTGAGGTAGGTGTAAAATTACTTTTTCTCATGGTAACTTGGCAACAAAAGATGTCTGAAATCTTGGCTGATATACAAGATGCTTTTGTCCAAGAACTTACTGAGCTGTGGGATGACTTAAACTATAGGGGTTCCTTTGCGTCTCAAGCTGATTTTAGTGCTGGTCATACCTGGAATAACCCGAAGATCATAATCGCAGGCAAGATCTTTTTTATAAGCACAAGGCTAACGCAGGAGTGATGTCAATTAATAATCTGATGACAGATGATTCAAGAATTCTAACCTGCAGTTGATTCTAAGATAAGCTTTGCTTTTAAGTTTCCTTCTTAACTTCAGCTATTAGGAGGGCTACGAGATCTTTGAGATGGTCATTGCCAGGTGAAAAAATTCCAGGAAAGTAAACTTGACGATGTGGAAAATTGAACTGGGGGTAAATTCATCCACTGCCCGGGATCTGTACACTTAGCTCGAAACTATGGAACTTCCAACATGAAATTTCTCCATAGGAGAATCGCGCAACAAGTTCTGTTTAAAATAATCTTTCGGAGTCAAATCTTTTTTGCTTTTGTCAAACAGCACAAGAAACGTCACTTCATCTTTTCTGGGGATGCCTGACAACAGAGGCCTTTTGGAATAACGCTCATCCTTTCGTCTAGGTTAATTTAATGCCAGCGTCACAATGTATTAAATTTATGCCAAAGATTAGGTCTTACAGTAGAAAACAGCGCTTCTTTACTGAATCATTGTCTACTTAGCAGTTATTACATTTACTCCTGTAAGTACAAAAATGCACAACCACCCTTCATAGCTAAAATGTGGTAAATCAGGTAAGATGGAACTTAAAAATTGAAATACAAATTTCCAGTTCTACTAGAACACAAAACGTGTAGCAACGCAATTGGCAGAAAATATACCAGTCATTATAACTGCTTAATCTCTCCTTTCAGCTATTGATAGAATAAACAATCAGTTACTTGAGCGATATTTAGACTCTCTTTTAAAAAGGAAACAACTTTAACCCTGTATTTCAAGGTCCTACATTTTTGGTTTTCTTTGATGCGCCTCTTCTGTTGTGCATTTACTCTTGGTTGTAAAATGTTCAAAAGTAGTGTAGCATGCAATTTATTGTATAACGGTGTCATTTTTAAAGAGTAGCATTAACTGTATCTGTAGGTGGCATTATCGTCAGTCTTGTCATTATTAGTAGTATAATTAATTATTGTTAAGTAGAATCAATTCTTGTTGCATAAAAAGTGCTGTTGGAAATGTAAGCAGAGTTTGGTATTGTAAGTAATGCGTTGTATTGTCATCAAGTAAGTAATTTTAGTAATGTAAGTAATGTTAGTATTGTAAGCAATATTGCTGTTGGAAGTAATGTTAGTGTTGTAAGTAAGTGTAGTATTGCAAATAAAGCGCAGTGGTATTTCAAATAGAAAAACCATGACCAGTTAGTAAGAGTTGAAATTGCCTGAAATTGGGTAGCCGACCACCAGTTAAATTCCTCAAAGCATAAGCAGTGAAAAACAATTGTATAAGAGAGAATAAAAAATGGAACTTAAATGATAAACTGTTGAAAACTGATGTAACGTTAAATTCGCTTATCTCTATATCTTCATACCCTATTGCCTTTATATATTATTATCCCAGATTGGGGAGCACATAACAGAAATAAAGTCCCAAAAGAAAGTAAATTCTGATGTCGGAGTCTTTATACCAGTTGTTCAGGTAAGAGAGAGATCGAGAGAAACAAACATTTCAACTTTTCTGCACCACTTGTTGCTCATGACATAAGACTAGGTTTTTTTAATGATAAGAAAAGGACCTAGACCTCGTCATAATTTCCATCCTTTGGGTTGATATTATATAAATAAATAAATAAATAAATATAAATATAAATAAATAAATAAATAAATAATTACTTTAATCACTAAGGATGGCTGCCCAGTCTTATTAACCCATTAAGGTTATTTCGGGCATTTCAGCCAGTCATGTGTTCGTTTTTATTTTAAATTTATTTTTGTACACTTAAATTTTAGGAATAAAGCTGTTGTTGTTGTTGTTCTTGTATGAAAGAACGTAATCCAGCGGACGCAGAACATGTTTGGAATTAAATTAAAGATAGTGTTTCCCTGGAGTTTTGGAAGTCTCATAGTTAGAAACATTTACGAACACGGTTTACTTCCACCAGTTCTCCTGTTTCTTTTTAAATTCAAGAATAGGCCTTTGTTGTTTACAAAACTTTCCCTGTATAATATACACGGTCTACGTTTTCACAATGCGGTGATTTTGTCGTTATTGTTGCTTGGTACAGTGTTAGTGTTGTAACAATATGTGCAACAAGAGCTACCTTTGAATTAAAAATACGGTAAGATTGCATATCCTGCCGTTGTCCAATTAAAAATAGTTTTGAGAAACTTGCTTTTCTTAAACAATATGTTAAATAATCTAAAACGTCTGTCTGTACTGTAACTTTAGGCACATGCTTGTTATGAAAGTTTGTATATATATGATATTCATAAAGAAGGAGCAGTACAGGGTGTAAAATCGCTTTGAATAACTCATATTAACCTATATTATTAAATACTGATATCACATTAGGCCTGGAGTTGAACGTATGGCAACGTTGTCTGATGTTGATCATTAGATAATGTGCAAATATTATTAAATAGCTAGGTGCAATCACTAACGTTGACAAAAATACAAAGTAAGGAAAGTACGACCAACTAAAATGTCCTAACACGTAGTCAGCAGTGCATTAAGAAATGTTGCTACTGAAAGGACAGGTATTCATTGTCTTCAAAGTTTCCGTTTCTTTTCAGGAGCTCTTTACCAACCAACAGTTAGCTCTCATCAATGGACAGGATAAATGGTGACAATTTCTGTGGGTGGGTGGACACGACAAACTGGGCATTGGACACAGGCGCACACTATTTCCACTCTTTTGGTTGTGCGGGTAGGACCGTGCTGTTTGGGAAAGACGCCGACGTCAATATTAAAACTATAGTGGTAGACAAACCGACTCCGTCTGCCCCAACTTCCTCTTAACTGAAACCTTGGTATCGTTAGCAGCTCACGGAATATTTCCCCGGGATATATTGATTTACGAAAAAAAGACTCCCCTGGGTCAATATCTTGCCAATCTCTACGACGAAAATGTCTTTGTATAATATGTTCTTCTTGTTCCTTGGATAAATTCAAGAATCGACAGCCTACGCAACTCATTGCATCCATTTTCAGGACGGACTTTCGCCTTCAAATTTGATGGGAACTTTCGTCGATACAGAAACTTTGTTCTAGAGCTAACATAACCCCCAGCAGGACAATGCGCAATGTGTTATGATATGGCTAGTCACCAGTTTCCTTGCTACTTATGGACCACACGGTCTCCGCGCATGTCAGAC